ACTCTTTTCAGTGGTGCCCAGCAGCAGGACAAGGGGCAACGGGCACAAACTGAAGCATGGGAAGTTCCGTCTGGGTCATCTAGTCCAATCCCCCTGCCGAAGAAGGGTCACCTACAGCAGGCTGCACAGGACTGTGGACAAGGTCCTCTACAACCTACTGTAGGTGACCCTGCTTCGACAGGAGGGTTGGACTAGATGACCCACAGAGGTCCCTTCCAACCCCTACCATTCTGTGATTCTGTGAAAATTACAAAAAAAAAAATTTCCTTTGCTAAAAATGAGGGAGGATTTCCAGAAGGAAAATCAGATGTAGAAATCAACTTTGTCTTTTAAATCTTTTCTATTTCACAAAGAAAACTACTGGAATAATTGAAAGAGTTACATTTCAATCTGGAACTTAATTGTATATGATAAATTAAGGTTCACAGGAGGTTATTTTTTTAAAACTCAAGGCTACAAAGTTTCATTGAAAAGTATACTTTGAGAGTTGTTTTATTCTACTAGCCTCAAACTAGAGGATTGTTTTCATGCTGGATGTGTTTCTACAGGATCGGTGAAGAGAAAAATTGCTATCTGATTAACCACAGGCAAATGCAGCTGAATCACTTGTAGAGAACTGTTATCTGCTATGCAACTGTTATGACTACAGCAGTTTAAAAAATGTAAAAAAAAAAAAGGAAAAGGAAATAATACAAGAGGAATATTAGTCATGGTTTCAAATGGCCAATTCATTGGTCCAAAAAGGCAAAAATAGTTCAGCTGCATGATTAACCACCATTATTTATATTATTATGACTACATAGCTGATGAATATGCAGCAGAATACACCGAGACTGAAGAAATTTCCAGTAGACTGAAGGAACATGCTAAATGAACAGTTTGAAACACATAAGGGGACTGCTTCTGTAATGATTATTCAGCATCACTGCAAACTCAGAGTTTTTCCCTTTTGGTCTTACTCTAAGGCTGTAAAGACTTCACTCCTCTGATAGCCAGATAGCTTCTGAACTCCACCTAAAACTATTAATGGCCAATGTGCTGCATGTCATAGGGATATTCAGACATACTGTCTTTCACCGTCAATTTGCTAAGGAAAATGAGCCAAGCGCATCTCATCTTGTCTCATAAGATGGGGCCTTTATTCCCCATATCCTCATTTTGGCTTTTTCTTCCGTTTCCTCCAGTTTGTTATGTTTGAACGTGGGTGAGCATAGCTACAGACAGTATTTTGCATGGAATTTCATGAGTGGCTTGCACAATGGCGCTGACGTGCCCATATTTCCTATTGAAAATAGTTTGCTGTGTGTATTCCAGGATCATACCTGCCTTCTTCGTGGAGCTGCTACACCAAAGACTCAGTTGTCCTGTGATCAGCTAGATCACACCTTTCTCTTTTCTAGTATTTTCTCCTAATGAGTTCCCGATTTACAGCAGAATTTATTAATCACCAAGTAAATGACTTTGCATCTTGTACTGGGAACTTTCTCCATTTCTGTTACTCAGTCCTTAATGTCATCCGGACCTAATTTGACTCATTACTGTGAATACTTCTTAATATTATCTTATTAGCAGATGTCAGTACCAGTTCTACTTCTTGATTTGAAGTCATTAATAATAATGATAGGATCAGGATTAGTTCTTCAAGAAACTTCATTAGTACTACAGTTCCACATACAACTGTACCCTAGTTAATTATATACTTTCAAATCTATGCACTTACGTTCAGCTTTACTAACAATTTTGTATATGACATTATAGCAAATATGTTACAAACCATCTTTGGTGCTTGTTAGGATCAGGCTCTTAAATACACCACTGGGGGTTTTACTGTTCATAATGAAATCAAATGGGCCCTACCAGTCAGTTTCCAGAGAAAAATACTACGCTGTAAAAGAGGAATGCTGATGTAAGATTTCAGAGAGTTGTGGGCCTCCTAGTCAGAGTTCATGTTAGATCTGCTTGGTAATCAGTCTTTTGAGCAAGGAGGACTGAAACAAGAACAGTGAAGGGAGATCTTTATTCAACTACCAAGAACTCGTATCTTTAAAAAACTACCAGCAGAACTAAAAGTGTTAGAAGTATTGGCTATATGATGTGGTGTAAAGAAAAGCTACACAAGAAGAAGGAAGTGCTAATAGAAAGTTCAAAAAACTTGGTAACATTACGTTAGTCAGACCACTAGAAATTAAATTATAAAATATCTCCTTCAATTCTGTATTAAAATTTTAATTGAAGAGAATCTTTTATCAGGCACCATGTGATTATGTTGGGAAGTATCATAAAGAAAAATATTCCGCACTAAGAATTACATTTTTATGCATCTTCTGATAGCAATTGTTTTACCAAAAAAACTATTCTTGTACTAGACAGAACTATAAAGCACATTTTTTTTGTCACTTAATAGCAAAGGCAAACCTGGGCAGACTTGTGACATGAGGTTCTCTGCTGTATGCTCAACTGCAATAAACTGTATCATGTTTTGATACAGGAATAAAATCTTATTTCTACGATTCTCGGAAAAAATGGGGGTTTTATTGCTAATATCTAGAATGCTTTTTTGAACAATGTAAGTCTAAGCATGATTCAAATGAATGTAGGTAAACAGTGCAAATATGCCAAATAAAATTAATCTTTATCTTAAATCCCTTTAAGATAATGGAAGTACATGTGGGACAGGTAACCCATCAGACACTCTTCTTAAGCCAAGTTCTTTATTTTTCTTTCTCATTTAACTCCATTCCCCAAAACTGCTTTTCCGCTAAGACCTTTGAAAAGAACTTAACCACCAAAAGAACTTAATGACTGGGTATTAAAAGTTCAGGGAATTCCTTAACATTAATAAAAAAATTAACCAATGAGCTCTGTGCAAATCATTCTGTTAATTACTTTGTTATATTCTGTGCCTTTTACTCTCTTTCAGTAGCATGGATTTTATAATTCTGCTTATAGTTTTCTTAACATAAATAAACACCACACACTTTATTAAGTTATATAATAAAAGAGCCACAAAGTGATGGTAGATAGAGCCATAACAAAGCATGCTGAAAGCCTTTCCAAGAAACATAATATTTGCTTGTAACGTGGTTCAGCAGGCTGGTTTTTTTTCTTTTTTGAAACAACAGTTCACTTCATTTTTTGACAGTAATTGAAATCCTTAAAAAATTTTATGACTGTGAAAAATCATTTGATTGCTGAATGTTTCTAAAGGGTCTAAGCAGATTTAATGTTCCAGTCTCACAGGCTTGTCTTTGCTTCTGTGGACTGAACTCCCTCTAAATGGAAACCTGAGGCAGTCACATTAAAACTTGTTGTTGCCTGGCCTCCTGCAACTTTTCCCAACCCAACTATTAACAGTTTGGTGTATTCTTTTTATTTTTCAGTGAAACATCAATATTTTGTGCAGAATGCATATAGTTTCTCTTAGAAAAGACCATTTGAAAAGGAAAAAGTGTTTCTGATGACAAAAAAATGCAAATAGAATATGTTCAACCAGTTCTACAGCCTGAGTCCTTTCTCCTTCCCCTCTACACTAAAATTCTCCTTCCGCTCTACACTGCCCTAGTGAGGCCTCATCTGGAGTACTCTGTCCAATTCTGGGCTCCCCAGTTCAAGAAATATGAAGAGCTACTGGACAGAGCCCAGCGGAGGGCTACGAGGATGATGAGGGGACTGGAGCATCTCTCCTACGAGGAAAGGCTGAGGGAGCTGGGCTTGTTCAGCCTGAAGAAGAGAAGGCTGAGAAGGGACCTTATAAATGCCCACAAATATCTTAAGGGTGGGTGTCAGGAGGATGGGGCCAAACTCTTTTCAGTGGTGCCCAGTGACAGGACAAGGGGCAACGGGCACAAACTGAAGCATGGGAAGTTCCATCTGAATATGAGGAAGAATTTCTTCCCTCTGAGGGTGATGGAGCACTGGAACAGGCTGCCCAGGGAGGCTGTGGAGTCTCCTTCTCTGGAGATATTCAAGACCTGCCTGAACAAGGTCCTGTGCAGCCTGCTGTAGGTGACCCTGCTTCGGCAGTAGAGTTGGACTAGATGACCCACAGAGGTCCCTTCCCACCCCTACCATTCTGTGATTCTGTGATTCTGTGATTCTGTGAATGTTCCCAGTCTCAACTGGTCAAGAAGTGACAACCATAAAAGATTTTTCAGCAATGTTAATACCAGGCTGGTGTAAGATTGCCTTTCTCTAAATCCATAAGACTTGCCTGGCAAAGTCTGTGCTGCAATTTTTGCAGAGGGTTGCCACCTAATTATACTACAAATATTGAAAATGACAGCGTCTCTCCTCTGGTTCAGTGATAGTTCAGATTTCCCTGGAGCAGTGTCCCCAGTGTGGGGTCTGCAAATCAAGGAAAATGCTGCAAAATTCGGAGAGAATTCAGAGAAAAACTGAGACCAGCTAGAATTGGAAAACAAGTATTGCATTGACTCATAACAGAATATGTTTAGTTTATCAAAGAGAAGGTTAAGGGGCTATCCAGCTGCAACCTTAAAATGCATCTAATACTGCAACAAAAATATCATAGAGAGGATTTTAGAACAACAAACAAAGCTACTGGAAGACCCAATGATTGGAATCTGACACCATGCAAAATCTAGATAACAAGCAAGCTACAAAGTCATGACTCTGAACGTGTTAGGAAGAAATGTGGCAGGTTCTCTATGCTTTCAAACCAAGATTCGACCTTTTATAAAATTCATGGTCTATTTCAACCATAAATACTGTTTTTAAAATAGAAGATAATTCTAGAAAATCCTGGTTTATGCAGTGGAACCAATGAGATGACTACACTGGTCCCTTCTGTCTTTAAAATCTCTGATATTCTGAATGCCATTTTGTCTAACATAACACTGTAGACTCACAAAGCAGTAATTTCAGTCTGATTTTTTTTTCTGTCTTCTGTTATGTTTTGTTTGCTTTGCTGGCTTTGCATTTTTTGGTTCCTTTTCTTTTTTGTTTGGGTTTTTTTTGTTTGTTTTTTTCTTTTACTCCAGGAATTGGTCAAGGGGTTCCAGTGGTGGCCCTCATTGTGGAAGGAGGTCCCAATGTTATCTCCATTGTTCTGGAGTACCTACGAGACACTCCTCCTGTTCCTGTTGTGATATGTGATGGCAGTGGCCGGGCATCTGACATCCTTGCCTTTGGTCATAAATACTCTGAAGAAGGAGGGTAAGTCATTTCTTAGTGTGTGTGCTTTCTCCATCCAGAAGTTCAATCTGGTGGTAAGGTAAATCCCAGAAAATTACAAGAGATATAGTGTAAAAGCAATACCTTCCTCACATGGCCTTTTCCATCATCAATATGGGTGAAACATTGAAGGTATCCAGAACAAGTAGAAAAAAAAGGTAGCTAAAGCAACACTCAGGAAAGTCTACAGAATAAAACAGAGGTATAGAAACAAGTACGATGTACGATATCTTGCAGTTGCAGATCAAGGGATTCAGTCAAAGGGCACAGGGAATTATCTTCACTGGCTTACATATGCTATGTCATTATAATAGAGTGTACTGCTGTCTTCAGATTTCATTTAGCCATACACATTCATATATAGCAGTTTGTATTTGCCTTGCCTGTTGGGTGTGATTCTGCACACCCGCCTATATTCACACATCACTGCTTGTGCACTGGTCTGTGTTTCTTTGCAGACCCAAGGTGAGGCAAGGATAGTATTTAGCTTTTATTATGAAAGATTCAAGTTTGGTTTTGTTGAATCAGGCTGTAAGCATGCTTGGCAAGTTCCAAAGAGCGTATTATTACTAAATACCCAAATATTTAATATTCTTTATTCTTCTTCTCTACCCCCAAAAATGTGTAAACTGTCATAGTACGACAGAACAGTTGATGCTGGAAGGGATCTTTGGAGGTCATCTGGTCTGACACTCCTGCTCAAGCAGGGCCACCTACAGCCAGTTGCCCAGGACCATGTCCAGATGGCTTTTGAATATTTACAATTATGGAGATCCCACAGTGTTTCTGGGAAAACTGTGCCAGTGCTCAGTTACCCTCAGAGTAAAAAAAACGTATTTCCTGATCTTCAGAGGAAACTTCCTGTGTTTCAACTTATGCCCACTGTCTGTGGCCCTGTCCCTGGACACCACTGTAAGGAGTGTGGCTCCGTCTTCTTTACACCCTCCCTCAGGTATTTATATATATTGATGAGATCATCCCTGAGCCTTCTCTTCTCCAGGCTGAACAGTCACAGCTCCCTCGGCCTTTCCTGATAAGTGAGGTGATCCAGTCCTTTCATTATCTTAGTAACCCTTTGCTGGACGCTTTCCAGTATGTCCACGTCTCTCTTGTACTGGGAAACCCAAAACTGGACACAGGACTCCAGGTGTCCTCACCAGTGCTGACGAGAAAGGATTACCTGTCTTGAGCCGCTGGCAGCACTCTTCCTAATGCAGCTCAGGATGTCATTAGCCTTTGTTGTAGCAACAACACGTTACTGGCTCATATTCAAGTTGGTGTCCACCAGGACCGCTTCTGCCAAGCATCTTTCCTGCTGGGAGACCCCCAGCACGTACTGGTACATGGGGTTGTTTCTCCACAGGTGCAGGACTTTGCATTTCCTCTTGCTGAACTTCATAAGGTTCCTGTAAGCCCATTTTTCCAGCCTGTCAGAGTGCAGCATTAGGGTACACTCAGCCCCGTCTTCCAGATCATTAATGAGGGTGTTGAGCAAGACTGGACCCAGGACTGGTCACTGGAATACATCACTAGTTGCTGGCCTCCAATTAGGCTTCATACCACTCATTGCAACCCTCTGGACCCAGCCTTTCAGCCAGTTGTCAGTTCACCTCACTGTCTGCTCCTCCAGTCCATACCTCAACAGCTTCTCTGTGAGGAACTTATGGGAAACATTGTCAAAGGTTTTACTGAAGTCTATGTACACAATGTCCAGTGCTTGACCCTCATCTATCAAACTTGTCATTTCATCACAGAAGGTGATCAGGTTGTCAAGCATAATTTCCCCTTAGTGAATCCATGATGACTACTCCTAATCATCTTCATGTCCTTCATGGGCCTGGATATGGTTTCCTGGATTAGCTGCTCCATCATCTCCCCAGGGATCGAGGAGAGGCTGACCAGCCAGTAGTTCCCTGGGTCCTCCGTCATGCTCTTCTCGAAGATAGGAGTGACTGTTGCTTTTCTTTAGTCCTTAGGCAATTCTTCCAGCTGTCATGATTGTTCAAAGATTTTGGGGTAGCCTTGCAATGACATCAGCCAGCTCCCTCAGCATTCATGAGCGCACCCGCTCAGAACCCATGGACCTATGTCCAGTGTGTTGAAGTATTCCCTGACCTGATCCTCTTCCACCAATGATATGACTTCCTTCCTGCAGACTGCCCCCCCTGGTCTCTGATGCCTGGAATTGAAGAAGGCACACAGTACTTCAGCATTTTCCATGTCCTGTGTCACCAGGTCCCCTGCCCCATTCACTGAGCTTGGAGGAGGTGATACTTGAATGTTAACCAGCTTTCATGGGCCCCTCTTCCCTCTGGGTCTTATCCTATAGAACTCTTCCAAGAAGATCCCCAAAGAGGACAAAGTCTGCTCTTCTGAAGTCCAGGGTTCTGATCCTGCATTTTGCCCTCTCTGTCCTCCCAGAATCCTGACCTCCACCATCTTATGGTCACCGCAGCCAAGGCTGCCTTTGACCTTCACATCCCCATTGAGGCCCTCTTTGTTGGCAACAAGTAAGAGGTCCAGCAGAGCACCTCTCCTCATTGGCTTTTCTCTTCCTTGGGTCAGGAAGGTCTTGTCCCTGCACTTTTGGGGTAGCCTTGCAATGACATCAGCCAGCTCCCTCAGCATTCATGAGCGCACCCGCTCAGAACCCATGGACCTATGTCCAGTGTGTTGAAGTATTCCCTGACCTGATCCTCTTCCACCAATGATATGACTTCCTTCCTGCAGACTGCCCCCCCTGGTCTCTGATGCCTGGAATTGAAGAAGGCACACAGTACTTCAGCATTTTCCATGTCCTGTGTCACCAGGTCCCCTGCCCCATTCACTGAGCTTGGAGGAGGTGATACTTGAATGTTAACCAGCTTTCATGGGCCCCTCTTCCCTCTGGGTCTTATCCTATAGAACTCTTCCAAGAAGATCCCCAAAGAGGACAAAGTCTGCTCTTCTGAAGTCCAGGGTTCTGATCCTGCATTTTGCCCTCTCTGTCCTCCCAGAATCCTGACCTCCACCATCTTATGGTCACCGCAGCCAAGGCTGCCTTTGACCTTCACATCCCCATTGAGGCCCTCTTTGTTGGCAACAAGTAAGAGGTCCAGCAGAGCACCTCTCCTCATTGGCTTCTCTATCACTTGGGTCAGGAAGTTCTTGTCCATGCACTCCAGGAACCTCCAGGATTGCTTATGCCCTGCTGTGTTGTCCCTTCAGCAGAGATCTTGGCAATTAATATTCTACATAAAGATGAGGGCTTATGAACACGAGGCCAATCCTAGCTATCTGTAGAAGGCCTCATCCACTTGCTCTTCATAGTCGTGCAAACTGTAGCAGCCACCCACTACAATGTCACCCCTGTCTTCTCTTAGTCCTAACCCATAAATTCTCGGTTGGTTTATCATCCATCCTCGGGCAAAACTCCATGCAGTCCAGCTGTTCTCATATAAAGGGCAACTCCAACTCCTCATCTTTCCAGCCTGTCTTTCCTAAGAGCTTGTATCACTCCATTGCAACACCTCCAGTCATGGGAGCCGTCCCACCATGTCCCTCTGATCCCAACAAGATCATAGCCCTGCAGCTGCACACAGATCTAAACCATTATGTTTATTTCCCATACTAATGCACATTAGTATACAGGTACTTTAGACAGTCAGCCCAGCATACTGATTTCCCAGAAAAGGCTTTGGGGATTTCTCCATAACGGTGTCCTGTAGGTATTTCATTGCTTGAATAAAAATGATGGAGGTGAGCCAGCTTAAGACCTGTTTTACTGATTTTGTGATGATTTCCCATCGCATCACGCTAGGCGCTTTGCTCATCAACTCTGCGCATCATGCCCTCGCAAGGCTGCTGGTGACTCTCTCTCCCTTACCCAGAATTCCTTCACATCCCTATTGAGCATTCCTACTTTAAAGCCCTTCTTACCAGGTCAGCCATTTCAGCAAAGGTAACTACCCTGCTTAGGGAGGCAGATCCAATCTCACAAGCAGACACTGATCTGCAAACAGGGTTCCACAGTCATAGAACCCAGAACCCTGTCACCAACTCCAACTCTGCAGCGAGCTATTGACCTATATAATCACTGTCCTCCTCCCCACACCCTTTCCTCTCACCAGCAAGACTGAGAGGAACACCACCTGTGCTCCTATGCCCTTGACTAACCAGAGCTCTATAGTTACTTTTGATAGTGTCCAGGTTTCCCTTTGCAATATCATTGGTGACCATGTGGAAGAACAGCACGGGGTAGTGGGAAAATAGTCAGATAAGCTTTGACAGTCCCTCCACAATATCCCTGTTCTGGGCCCCAGCAGGCAGCAAAACTCTCTAGTTGATAGGTCAGGTCAACAGATGAGTGCCTCTGTCCCCTGCAGCAAGGAGTTGCCCATTATAATCGCTCACTGCTTCTTCCTGATGGTCTTGCATGGATTAGTGTCAGATGGCACAGACCCTTTGCTTGGAGGCACATGTGACTCCTCTTCAACTTCGAGAATGGTGAACCTATTTTGTAGTTGTAAGCTGTTAGGTGGGGCAGGAGCCTTACTCTTGGTGCCAGCAGTCATCAGATTTCATCCTTTGCCTGCTCCAGAGGTGGCACTTACCCAAATACTAAGTGTGGATACTGCCTGCATCTCCATTGCAGTTGGGGTCCAGGGTTCTTTAGGCTGATGCATCTCAGAGAGATCCTGTCTATCTCATTTTCATCTTCTCTGATGCTGCATAGCCTGCTTGCTTTTCAGTAACTCCTATGCTTGGTGGCACACCTCCTCCAAGACAACAGACCTACAGAAAAGAAGGCCATTTCTTCTGACATCAAAGATAGACTCTGCAGCCTAGGAGTTGGAGAGCTGCATCCACTACATAAAGCTCCATTTGCATCAAAGCCTCTGCTCTAGCTGGAGCAGCTAATCCAGCATCTGCCAGGAAAATTACCCTGTAGCACGTCACCCCTGAACCTGAGACTGTTTGTGCTGGAACAAATTCAGCTGAGG